CTATGCGGCCATGCCCATTTTTGCTGGACTAAAAACCATCAAAAGGTTCTACTCTAATTCCAACCACATCATACTAACCTTAACCGCGGTTCCAACTTTGAGGGAATTAGTAAAATTCATGGTTTCTTTCATCAATATCAGTCAATCCACCATAATTTTCATTTGTCACCAATGTTAAGGAAGACCTTCTCTTTCAACAACTGGAAAGACAAGCCTTCTATCGCAATTGGAAATAACCAATTTATCACATACGTAATTAACCATAGCCACTAGGTCTCGAATTCTGCATCTTAATGCCAGTCTGCCCATCAAGAAGACAAATTCTGGTGCTTCCTACTCTCCTAGCATCCCGGCGATCATTGTAGAGGATGAGCCTTATTAATCTAAAAAATAATCCATTGAAAATAATAGTGAATGCCGGACACACAACATTTGAATTTGAATTGCTCTATCTACTATCTTCTCTCTCACATATATGGCTTTTAACTCTCATTTCTGTAACTTGAATCAATCTTAGATAGAGTAGTTAAATCTACAACATTTCCCTCCATGGTATCTGAACATTCCTTGCTAACCAAATCTTTCCTTGTTTTTCTCCAAAAATCTTATCGTTGATAATCTCTGGTTCTCCTCTACACCCTTGATTATCAGTTGCCTTGAGAAATAATTCAAACTTGTCTGATTCCACTCATAAGTATCTTGGAGATTGAGACAAACGTGTTGCTATGATTTGAAGGTTGCTCACTCAAATGCAGGTTGTCCCGAATTAATATAATTTCTTGAGATTTTGAGGTTGAACCACAAGCAATGGTAGAACTTGGAATACAAATAAATAAAAAAATTAGTTCAAAGAGTTGGTTGAAATTGGTTGTAGAATAACAATGCAAATAATAGGTTTGAAAAGAATAGTGAAAAACACTCAAGCGTCCAGATCCACTTTTAGGAAGCATATAATATCTATTCTCATCCAATTAATATCTCAATATAGAATCATCTAACAAGTGATTCTAATTGAAAGATAGAGCGGAGATTATGTGGAAAATAATATCAACAATTGCACTTGATAAATTAACACATATTGAATTCCTAGCATTTACCGTTCGCAGAGTTAAGAATAAGTTAAGGGCTTCAACAAGCGAAATCTTTTCTAAACATGATAAACAATCAATTATTTATCATAAATTTTGTAATTGATTGATCAAAATATGCAAGACTAGTTATGTTATTCACAAGCATTTGATGGGTTTAGGAGTGACATCGAATCAAAGAATTATACAAAAATAAAACCTTACTCAAGTGTAAGAAACAATCAATAAGAATGATTTATGCCTTGAAGAATATGAAATGATCAAAAACATATATCATAACTTATTAGAAGTTTCACCCCTAATTTTAGTTCGAAGCTTAGCAATCCATCACAATGGAAAAAACTTTTAAGAAGGATAATGAGTAGATAAAGGATATTAAATTTTGTGCCTACATCTCCCCGATATATTCTCAAACCCAAAAGATTTCAAAAGGAAAGAATCTCAGGAGAGCAACATCTCCTAAATCATGTCCTTCCAATGTCGCCAACTTCGAGCCTAGTTTGACCTAGTAAACATTTGGTTCACAAAAATTCCATAAAAAAATATTATTTATAGATAATTTACAGAAAATTGCCTTAATTTGAGTCGGAGGATAAAATTATTACGTAAATACAACAACAATATCAAAACCTATCCTTCTAAAGTTTTTTCCAAATCTATTTTTGAATGCTTCTGGTACTAATTTGAGCTCCCACATGGTCTTAATTGCTGATTTCTTTTCAAATCTTATTAATTTAATCTTGACCCTTCAATGCAGTTGGATTCTTGATGAATTGGTTGGGTTTGAATATTGTACAAAATCAAATACTGTAATAAGTGTCCGTTTTCACCAAATAAACCATGAAAACTTACTAATCACATTTGTGAGAGGAAACATATAAATCCATATAAAATATGCAATTAGTATCTGCAAAAGTGCATTAACACTTATTTAAGCCAATAGAATATTACAACTTCCAAGCATTATCACTTTCAATTCTTGCTAGAAAAATATTTAGTCTATACATCGAAAGAAGACCCTATTTTTTTCGCTGAAAGAGTTCCCTTCCATCCTTCGATTCCCCGCATCAAGCACATTCTCCAAACAAGGTCTTGTTCTCCCATGTGTGAAGTTGGATTAGAGTCTCAAGATGGATAGGGATCTAGGGTTGTTTAAGGATTTCTTAAGGTATGACAGTTTGAATTTTGGCTTTCAATAGAGATAACCTATATCTAAAAGGGTTTTTCCTATTTATAAGCTCGGAATTAGGTCAAGCTTGGAGGCCAAGTAAACCAAAATTTGTGAACGACCATTCACACAGTGGGAGAACGATGAGAGGACAAATGTCACTAGAATGAGATTTTGGTTCCAACTAGTTTGACAGGATATCGACTGCTCAAGTGGCCTCGAGCGACCTAGAGGGCAGTTTCCATTGCCCAACTCGACCTTACTTTGGCAAGACTGACATGCCTAATAAAAGAAAATCATAAAACTTGAGATCATTTTCTTTTTGTAGTCTTAAGTGCTCCTCCATTCGAGGCAAATATCATTCTCACTTTTGTTGAAGCTTTAAATCTTGGACAAGATTCCTATAACTCTTTACCTCCAATAACCAATAGAAAAACCCACGGTTTAGGCCTCTTGTTTTGTCCATTGAGAGCAAAGTGTGGGATACTTAGTTATAATCATTGCACGCTCTCTCTCTCTCTCAACTTTGAAAATCGTATACTTTTGATTGTTCATGATTTGGTTCAAATTTAGCCACTCAAATTAAGGTAAATATGTCATTTCTCATGTAAAAACTTCCATTTACGTGTCCTATTTGAAATGTTAATGAATTGTCATATTATTTTGCAAATATTAGGAGGTCTCTTTGATTTGTAGCCTCTCGTTCATGATCATTTCAAAGTGACTTAGCATGCATTGCCTAAAATTAATTTCTAATTGTTGGAGCGAGTGATTTCAAAAGTGATCAATGTTAACTCTACGAATTAGTAGAATTACTAGGGGTGCAACTTGGGCGGATTAACTCGATTTCAACCCAAAAAAATTAGGGTTTGGGCTAGGGTTTTTAATACTTGGGTTGGGCTTGAGTCAAAAAACATCAACCTGAATTCAATTTGGGCGGGTCTCGAGTTGAGCCATCGGGTTCACGGGTTGAACTTGAATATTAAACTCGGACTTAACCCGATTTAATAATCGGGTTCATATCGAATTAATAATCGGGTTCAACTTGAATTAATTTTATATAAATACAATTTTATACTAGGGTTAATCTCAACTCAAGTCTACGCCTCCCTTAGACCCTCACTCACTCTCAGTCTCTCTCGGTCTCTCAATCTCTCACTCTCACAGTCTCACTTTCAGATCAGACCTATCTCTCACTCTCAATCTCTCTCGGTCTTTCAGATTCTCACTCTCACTCTCATATCAGCCCTCTCAGCCTCCTTCGTCTTCGCCTCTCTCTCTCAGAGCAGATCAAAACATCTACTCTCTCAGAGCATATCAAAGCAGCCTCCTTCGTCTTCATCAGGTACGATTTTCATTTTTATGTTAAAAACTTGATTGAAGTTGCTGATTGTTAAATTATTTGAATATTATGTAATATGTATCAGGTTTCGTTGTTTTGCTTCTATATGTATCAGGTTTAAAACATTAACCCGAAATCAGCCAGTAAAGTAACCCGAATCATTAACCCGAATTCAACCCAAGTCCCCTGAATTACACTCGGGCAGTGCTTGGGTTGAGTCCATCAACCCGAGGTAGGGTTAAGGTTAGGGTTGAAGATTATATACTTAGAGTTGGGCTAGGGTTGACTGTCCAACCCGCCCAATCTGCCCGAGTTGCATCCCTACGAATTACGGACTATATCGATTATTCATGTATGTAGACTTAGTCAACATTCTTCCTGTAAAATTATGCTTATTCTAATGGTTGTAAGAAATGGAAGGTTGCTACACCAAAGTATATACAATTTTGATTGTTTGTATAAATTTGGCTGTTAATTTTGGTGTTGGCAAGAACCATAAAAGTTACTACATTCTTAACTATATATGTAAAGAGTGGTATTGCATTGTAATTGGATTGAGAAGCCTGGAGCCCTTTTTTTCATCATTAAGTTAGTAAGGTTGGAGATGCTGTAGTTCTTACAGTCAGAGTATGTTTGCTCTTGTGGAGGTGTGTCTCTTGCATATTTTGTGATAGAATGCTTTCAGTAAAATTGAAAGGAAAACTTTATAGGATAGATAAGTATCAGGCCATACTTCACGAAGTAGAATGTTGGGTACCTAAGAAACATTACATTCATAAAATAAGTAGTTGTGATAAGGATATTGAGATGCATGTGTGGTAAGATAGATTTGATATCGTTGTGGGCATCCGTTTCTAAGGATTTTGATGGTGTTCCGCTCTTTTGCATGTTGGGGGATTGGAAGTTCTCATGTGTCCCTTAGATATTATGATTGTTTTTGTTGTCTTGTTTTTTTTCATCCATTTCATGGTGAGACATCTTGTCAATTCTATATGGCCGCTATTGGAAATGCTATGGGAAGGGGAAGCCTGAAATTGACATGGAAGGAAGCAGTAAAGAAGGATACAGATGTTTGTAATTTAATTGATGCCCGATGGAGCCGAATGGTGAAAAACGAGTCATTTAGGTGACCCCAAAAAAACGAGATGGGGCTTTATTTGGTTTGATTTTGGCACTTAAGGAGGTAGTTTTAATAGAAAATTTTCAGAACTTGAAAAATGATACACTAATCGTCCTTCATTGCTACCCGTGAACTAAGTTATGCAATCAAAAATTTCTGATTTAGCCCTACTTCTCAAAATAGGATTTCTATGTCTGAATGATAGACACATTTATTATTTGGCATCTCCCTCATCTAAATGGAAAATATTTTTGGTTTTTAATTGTTCATTATTCATTACTAGAGTGCTTCAACCTTTGATAATGTTGAAGAGTGGAAATGGAAATTAACCATGCTTATGCGCAATAAAAATGAACAAGAAGTGGTGTCAAGGGAAAGGAAAGATAGACGTGATTTTGAGCAACTTTCTGCACTGGCAACCAGAATGGGCTTACACAGGTATGCTAAAATTTTTTTGACTTGGGTATTTATCTTCTCTGGTGATTGTTGCAATTTTGAAGTGTGCCTTTGTTTTGCAGTCGTCAATATGCAAAGGTAGTTGTGATTAGTAAAGACCCCTTGCCAAATTATCGATCAGATCTGGATGATAAACGCCCACAGAGGGAGGTAATTTTTTTTGCTTGTATGAACTCTCTCCCTGTGACCTGCTTTTTGTGCTTTTATTTAGGTTTGTGTGGAAAAAATAATTGAATTGCTTCTTATAAAGACCTTATGGAGTAATTTTAAAAAATGCATTTAGGAAATTCAAACACGGTGCCTGTCATTGCTATTAAAAGGAGTTGACATCTGTGGCTACTTTTTAAAAGATTTAATTTCTTCAACTCTATATTTCTTTATAGTGAGTTCCTCTCGTGATTTTCATAAGTTCTTGACAATTGTAGGTGTTATTGCCTTTCGGATTGCAAAATCAAGTAGATGCTTATCTCAAAGCACACCTTTCTAGAAAATCAATGAACAAGGAAAGGTTTCCAAGATCAAGCAGTTGCAGCAATCTTACTACTGATGGAGGACTTCATGAGCAAAAGGAGCCATTGACACCTAGAAGTGTTGTAGCTGAGGGAATTCTTCGGCGGAAGAGCTTGCAGCTGCATAATAAACAAGAAGATTGGCAGGTCTGTCTAACCGTGAAAAATATAGGGGACTATGCCCTTTTGCTATTGATAAACTTGACAGACTGTGCATTTTCTTGTCCTAATGAAAGCTTTTGCTCTCTATCTGGTGTGTTTCTTGGAAAAATTTAGACCGCATTTGCTGTGTAGATAGTGATTTGCTCAATGTCATTTTATTTTTCTAAATTTTAGGCATTCAACTCTCTAGGAAAATTATGATATATTTGAAAAAATAACCCTGAGCTATTTCTAACATTAATTTTGTGGTTGTTGGTCATCCCAGAGTCCCTTGATCCCATATCCCAAGCTTTGAGCTCCTAACGTTTTCCACTTTGAGTTTCTTAGGGCATACCGCATATTGTCAGACCAACATAGCATTGGTCAATTAGTTGTAGATGTAGTTGAAGCGGGGATAAGATATCGATGGAGCTCTACTCTATCTATTCTTGATAGTTACCAATTTTTTTTTTTTTTGGGGGTGGGGGGGCACTTGTTATTGAATATGAAAATTACATTTTTTCTTTCCTTTGTTTGGCTTGCTGTTGTTTTGTGTCCATAATAGGAAACGCCCATGTGAGGATTAGGAAACTTCACGAAAAGCACAATTACGCGATTCATAAAATCAACTGTATTGAATCAGTGGGATTACGCATATATTGTGTCCATAATAGGAAAACCAACACAAAGGCTGGGAAACATCATGAAAAACACAATTACAATTCTCATAAGTTCAGGTCTAATGATTCAGTGGGATTATGACAGCTACACCATTTGTTGGATTAGTTAGTTATTTCTTTCACTTGTATAGTATCTGGAGAAATGATGGGAAGGTGGTTTGTAAGAACCTTGTGTTTGCCTGGTAGGTTTTGGCCATTCATTGGCAAACCTTGTCACTTGTTGGGTCATGGTCATGGAAAATAGATTTAAATATGATGGCTGAGGTTTAGTGCTGGATCATTTAAATACCCTCTGGGCCTCCTTGGGACCATCATTGTTGTGCATCTTTACATCCTCATTGCTCTTGAGTAAATTAAAAGATTCTGAATGAAATTTTCAGAGAGTACTTGGTGCGAGGATATCAGTGAATGCCTATTACCCTTTAACATGTAGACACCAATTCATCTTCGCTACTAAGAGATGCCCCAACCTACAGACCTAATTATCTAAATGAATTGCAGCTGATGGTATTTGTCACATATCTCGATTACTTGTTAAAATGATGTCTTGCCTTCTTTTATTTCCATTCATTCATAAACTTAAATGACTTAGTCCAAGAGATTTTTACTACATGTGCTTCTTAAATGCGTACCACTAGCATGTTTGCTCTTGTGGAGTTTGAACCCTTACTTGCTCAATCATATCAGTAAATGGATTCATGATATTCATGCATGTTGACTCTGAATATAGTTATATTAGAAGGACATTAGCGGAGGTTTTATGTTTACTGAGAAAAAGTGGTTCGCGAGGTTGTTTACTAATCTCTTTATTGTCAAAGTTTTCTATTAAATCATCCCAATATGCTTCCTTTCATGAATCTACTCGAATATTTGCAATTTAGGACATGCAAATGATATTTTGACTACCTTTCTGTTTCCCCCCCTAGGAATCTTCAGAAGGCCAAAAGATGCAAGAATTTCGGAGAAGCCTCCCAGCATACAAAGAGAGAGATGCATTGTTGGATGTCATTTCACAAAATCAGGTAAAACAAAATGCATCAAATAGATTAGAATGAGAAAGGACTAAGGATCATATAATATTCTATTGGGATTTGGAAGTGTTTGGAGATGAAAGCATGTTTACCGCAGAGATTGTGGTGAGAACGTTGACCATCTCTTTCTTTAAAGCAAACTGCGACCCAATACAACATGAAAGTTTTGTACCCGTGAGATGTACCAAATCGGCCCATGGCCCATAAGCATTGATCCATTCTTTGGAATACTGTGATTATGGTTATTTTGGGGGTAGTTTGGAAGGAAAGAAATAATAGAATTTTTGATGGAAGACTTGAATCAAGGAATTTCTTTGGCCAAGGTTTAAGTTCTTGGCCATTATGGGTATCAGTTCCTAAAGAGTTTAAAGAACTTCCTGTCTTTTTTATCCTTCAAAGTTGGTTTATGGCTTGTGGATAGGATGAATTGTGTTTGGATTAGTGCAAATTGCTGGTTTCAACCTTTCGTAATTATGATAGGATTCTTTATAAAACATCTTTGCACTTTTTATATCATTAATAGAAGTGTTGTCTCTTATAAAAGAAATGAAAGCTCCTCACTTATGCCAGAAAAAGAAAAATAAGATTAACATTTTTTTTTATCTAAGTGTTGAAAATGTGGTGTGTACATATGCAAAACAAGAATCACTCAAAGTTGTACCAATTGTTGCAATTTGACAATATCATATTATGGTGAACTTCGAAAGAGTGGTTGAGGCACAGCACATAAAACAAATTTCATTCCAAAATCATGATTGAAAGGTTAATAGTGGAAGCTATCTTCATGTTGAGGCCACCAACAGAAAGGTTTGGCAGGAAGGATACAGTTTCTTTGTAGGGTTACTTCTGATTGAATTAGAGATCGGCTATGATAGGTCCTTAGATCGTGGGTTTAAGAGGTAGCATTGAGTGCCAAGTTGATATATTGGCATTACAAATTTACAATTGATGTATTTCGTAGCTGTGATGATTGCAAGTACTATCGTAGTACATACAAGTAAATCCCAGTTAGTGGTGTGGTGGATTTGCATGAACAGAATGGGGCCTTTATGAACTTATCTTTCTGAGGCAATAATTGAGTAGAACATCTCGGTCGAGATTCCTTGTAATATGCCAATCGCTAATGATATTTCTCCAATTTTTTAAAGTAAGCTATAATGAATGTTTGAAATGCTCAAGCCAATAAAATTTATAAACGCAGAAGTGTTTTGGGATTATGGTTGTGGAACTAGGGCCGAATGGATTAATAAAGAAGTGTTTTGGGAGTATTGTCTAACCGATTTTGACTATAAAATTGAAAGGAAAAATTATTGAATAACTATGGGCAAAGGGATATTGTAAAGAAGAAAAATAGCTTAAACAACTGGGAAACCCAATGGTCTTGAAAAAACAGTGTCTAAAATGTGGATATTGAGATACATGTGTAGCATGAAAAGGAAGGATAAAATTAAAGATGTAAACATTTACGACTGTAGAAGTGGCATTATTCAGAGATAAAATGAGAGGAATGGACTGAGACGAATTTGCTATTTTTAACGAAGTCCAACAAATGCACAAGTTGACTATGGGGAAGGGGGAAACAAAAAAATAGGATGAGTTGCGGTAGGGAGGAAAACATGGTGGCAGGTGGTGTACATGATTTTATGATGTTTGATGCAATAGAATGGCGAAGTAGGATTTTTGGAGCTAAAATGGGGCCAGAAAGTTTAATCCATATGTGGATTTTTTGGTCCCCCCCCCCCCCCCCCCCCGCGGTGGGCGCATGATGTTTGATGGAATAGAATGGCGAAGTAGGATTTTTGGAGCTAAAATGGGGCCAGAAAGTTTTAATCCATATGTGGTTTTTTTTTAAGTGTGTGTTGGTGTGGCGATGATGTCATCCTTGTTTGGAGCCAATCCCAACTAGTTGAAATAAGTCTAACTTGATTTGATTCTCTTTTAAACTTTTTGATGATATGCTATTGTACTTCCTGATGATGTTGCAGGTGGTGGTTGTGTCTGGTGAAACTGGGTGCGGCAAAACCACCCAACTCCCTCAGTACATCTTAGAATCTGAAATTGATGCTGCTCGTGGAGCTGCTTGCAATATTATTTGTACTCAGCCTAGACGAATATCTGCCATGGCTGTTGCCGAAAGAGTTGCTGCAGAACGAGGGGAGAAACTGGGAGAATCTGTGAGTGTATTTCTTATCTGTCTCATCTGTGTGTGTATTTCTTATCTGTCTTTCATGGTGAAAACTGGTTTTCAATCTGTTTTTCCTTGGCCGATTTAATTAAGTCATCTTTATTTTGGTCTTTCCCTTTCCTTCAAAGGTTGGTTATAAAGTACGGTTGGAGGGAATGAAAGGGAGGGATACTCGCCTTCTGTTTTGCACTACCGGCATTTTGTTGAGGAGATTACTTGTTGACCGGAATTTGAAAGGTGTAACTCACGTTATTGTTGATGAGATTCATGAACGTGGAATGAATGAAGGTACCTGGGGGGTTTATCAAATTTCTAATATCTCTATTTCCACTACATCTTTTTAATACAGCTTGATTTTTTGTTAGATTTTCTGCTCATCGTCCTCAAGGAACTGCTTCCTCGTCGGCCAGAATTGAGGTTGATTTTGATGAGTGCAACCCTGAATGCTGAGCTTTTCTCCTCCTACTTTGGAGCTGCTCCCATGATACACATTCCTGTAAGTTTAGAATGCTATTGCCAACCTTGCTTGTGAAACTTTCAGAATGATTTGTTTTTTTTGATGGATATTGATGTTGCCATTTTTATTTTTTAGCGGAAATATTTGGAACTGAAGCATCCCAGAATTGTTTGTTGCTTGTGAAACTTACTTTGTAATTTGTTGAACTATATTTGTTTATTTGTCCATGTTCAGCACTTCTGTGGCAGTGTAAATGACTAGGATGATATCTAAATATTGCTTGAAAATTTTCCCAGCAAAGAAGTTAGGTTATGAAATAATGAGCAAACTTGAACTTTTATTTGGCATGCTTATGTTTTACTGACATTTTTAATTATGGGTGTGTGCGGGGTGTTTCATTCAGGGTTTTACATATCCTGTTCGAAGTCATTTTCTGGAGAATATTTTGGAAATGACTGGGCATAGGTTAAGTCCATTTAATCAAATTGATAATTATGGTCAAGAAAAGATGTGGAAAATGCAAAAACAAGCTCTCAGAAAAAGGAAGAGCCAAATTACTTCAGCGGTAGAGGTATCTAATTTTTGTGAGGTCTTCACTCCTTTTTGACTCATGCTTTTGGTTATCTGTCTATTCATATTCATTTTAAAACTTTGGAATAGGATGCCCTTGAAGCTGCTGATTTTATGGAATATAGCCCACGGACACAGGAGTCGCTCTCATGTTGGATTCCTGATTCAATTGGTTTTAACCTCATCGAGCTTGTGCTTTGCCATATATGTAGAAAAGAAAGGCCTGGTGCTATTTTGGTGTTTATGACTGGTTGGGATGACATAAATTCTCTGAAGAATCAACTTCAAGCTCATCCACTCCTGGGTGATCCAAGCAAAGTTTTGCTGCTTGCATGCCATGGTTCCATGGCCAGCTCAGAACAGGTAATCTTTGCAATTTACTTGGTGGCAAGTTTTATTCTAGCATATATTTTATTCCTACTGTTGTCTGTTTACGAATTCTTGCAGAAGACCAGCCATTTCGATAGTTGGATCTCAGAGGCATTCTCATAATTAATAATTTCCTCCCCAAAGCAAAGCTAATGTTTGTTTTTGGGAGGCATTTTTACCTTGTTAGAAAAGGATGAAGGTTCATGAGCATTGCGTTATTATACTGAAGCTTGTCTTGCAACTCAAATATGCAGTTCATTGACAACCCTAATGTTTAGGGCGTTATATGCAGTTGGGACTTTGAGTTTTACATTTTGAATTATCAATTTACATGTACCTGTTGCTTTGATTTTTATTTTTTGGTTTAAAAATTTGACTTTTATTAAAGTTTTGGTTTGTAAGTCATAACAGTTATTCTTTTTTAGCAACTTGTCTTTCTTTTTATAACCTTGAGGATATCGAAATGATCTTTAAAGGGTTTTAGTTCCACTAGCCTACAGTGGTGGTCGTCATTCCCAGCCTTTTGCAATGATGCCAACAGGAGTAAAGAACAATTGACGAATTCCGGCAAAATATAAGATCTAGGCGACCAAATGACTAGCTGCCTATAGAAATAGAAAACTAGGTTTCTCATCTTTTCCTTACTTTTCTTGTTGTTTCTAAGTAGCTTAGCATGGTGGGTTTGAATTCTTGACTTATTCTTTGGCTATTGTTTCAAATTATCAGGCTACAACCTACAAGGCTAACTGTCAGCCTGAATCCTTTGATTAACTTTGTGTTGCAATTTTCTTTTTCATTTTTGGGTAACTATGTCACCTCTTTCATATGTATACATATGTATTCTGCTTTCCTTTGTTTTTGGTGACTTTACAGTTAGAGAATCAATAAAATAATAGCAATGCTTTGAGGCTTAAACAAAATGATATCATCAGCAAATATGTTTCTTTGGGATGCTAGTGTCTTTCATATTTTTTTCCCTCCACATGGGTGTACTTAGATGCAGATTGTGTATCATGCATGTTTTTAGATTACATACTTCAAGTTGTTTGTGGTGAGTGCATAAAATATTTTGTTAGTCATTTGTGTTGCATTGCAGCAAGTACTCTCTGTCTCTGTCTGTCTCTCTCTCACACACACACACAAGGGAACATGTATTTTGTTACTTTTTTTGTAGAAAAAAAGAGAAATGGCTTAGAGACTAGATCTATTTGAAGCACAATACTGGCTGTTCAGTTTTTCTTTAAGCTTTTATTTTTTGTACTCTCAGTTTTTCAAGTTGAACCAATTTTCTCTGGCTTGAGGTTTTATTTGTTTAAAATCTTCTTGTTTCCCGCTGAAAGAAGGAATTTGATCATAATTTATCTTATAGTTATAAGCACTCTCTAGCTTGATAGCATATATGTTCCTAATTAAAATGGTAATTTAAGCTAGTGCTTTATTTTACTTTATTTTCCGTTGTTTGTTAATTTCTATTGGCCTTCATAACAGAGGTTAATTTTCGATAATCCGGAAGATGGAATTAGGAAAATAGTTCTAGCGACAAACATGGCTGAGACAAGTATCACCATCAATGATGTAGTTTTCGTGGTTGATTGTGGCAAGGCAAAAGAGACATCATATGATGCATTGAATAACACCCCATGCTTGCTTCCTTCCTGGATCTCTAAGGCATCTGCACGGCAAGTAAGAGTGTTCTGATTACATTGAGTTCTTTTGAGTTATCAGCTTACAGAATAATATTTATTCGAGATCCTTGTTTGAATTAGATTAGTTTTTTTGTTAAACAAAATCACATTGGTTGCCTATAGAAAATTCTTATTATATTGGGATTTATCACATGGACTAGTGATGCTCCATTCGTGGTACATCTTGTAGAGAAGAGGAAGAGCTGGCCGTGTTCAACCAGGCGAGTGTTACCATCTCTATCCTCGATGTGTATATGAAGCTTTTGCTGATTATCAATTGCCAGAACTTTTGAGAACTCCCTTACAGTCGCTATGTTTGCAAATCAAAAGTTTAAAACTTGGGAGTATTTCAGAGTTCCTATCTAGTGCCTTGCAACCACCAGAACCCTTATCGGTAAGTTTTGACCGAAATTTGCTTGTCTTTCATTGTGCATGTTGATGAAAATTAGAAACAAGGTCCGGTGCTGCTGTTTTCCTAAGTTATGTAACCCTTACAGTTTGTATGTCTAAACTTAACGCATGCATACTACTTGTATTATTGTGTAATCTATTTGACTTTTTTCCTAGCCATTAAATTGGTAAAATTTGTATTGTAGGTTCAAAATGCTATGGAATATTTGAAGATAATTGGGGCTTTGGATGAAGACGAAAATCTTACAGTGTTAGGTAGGAATATATCTCAAATTCAGTGTCATGCATTTTCTTTTATCATTGTATTCCTTGGTCAATGATAGGTGAGTTCTAAAAAAGATTAATCCCATAAAAATGAAAGAACTGCCTCAAATTATGCTGATTGCTTGCAGGACAAAACTTGTCAATGCTCCCAGTTGAGCCCAAACTTGGGAAAATGCTCATATTAGGAGCTATTTTCAACTGCCTGAATCCAATAATGACTGTCGTTGCTGGTTTAAGTGTCAGAGACCCATTCCTGATGCCATTTGACAAGAAGGATGTAAGTACTTTACCATTTTGACCCGCTAGATGCTTTTTCTGTTTTCTGTTTTATTTTATCTTTCTGCTTTACTTTTTACCCTGCTCTTTATAGGGATGAAAAACTTGTATCACTGGTTCTCGTAATATTCATTCCTAGAAGCCCAAAGCTAGGCTCTATTAGAAGGGATTATATCGATCAAGTCTAGCTCGGGGCATGAAATATAGAACATATATGCTGCAAGCTTCAGGTGCTTGCATGATTGTGATATTGTGAATTATATGAAGCATTTCTATCTTTCTGATTGTTCAGAAGAACGAACATGAATCTGTTTAATGGGGAAAATATGTAACATAGGCTCACTCTTTGCCTTTTTTTTTTTGCTTGTTTACATTTTTATTTACTTTTCTTGTTAGAATCAATGGTTGCACTGGATTGTTGGATTGATTACTTGGAGAAAGCCCATTTATGGTGTCTAGTGTCAAAAACATTAATCTGGTAAGCATAGAGTGAGAGTGAGAACGGCAATGAGACGAGAACGAGAGCGGCTATTCCTAGAATTGCATGTTGATGTGGTTGAATTGCCTCCAGAGCCACATTATGTATAGATAAATATGCTACTAATGGTAATGAATAAGTAAATGATTATGAGATAAACATAATAAAAAATCGGCTAAGCTCATGAGTTGGAGATAAGCGGACTCGAACCGCCCATAGATTTTGCACGGGTTCAATTCCTTTTGCAGACACTATAATATAGTGTGCCACATGGTTCATACAAATTAACTAGTGTCAAAACTCAAAAATAGTACCCCAAAACTTGTCAAGGTCATATTGACTTGATGGATCTTCTCTCTGTAATAATTGAATTCGCGAACTGAATGGAAATTCTATCTTTACTGACCAATTGATGCTCTGGAGATTTCAGTTGGATCAGTTTGGAGATGAATTGGATATCCTTCGCCTGACCTCAATGATTAAGGTTTTACATTTCCCAAATCCTTTCAAAATGTAAACAAACCTCAATGTTGGCATATTTGGACAAGACCTGCTCTGCCGGGCAATTTCTATTGTTGAAGGTCAAGTTGGTGCTTCAATTACAGGTTTATCATTTGAGCATAATAGAAACCTATTTCAATTCCTTTGTCACTTCCTCTGTTAACTTCTCCCCCTTTCCAAATTTTTTTGGCATGCATCCCCTTTGCACATATCAGTGCTGAGCCTCGGTGAGTTTCTGTGGATTTTTGTTAGATTTGATGCCTGTATCCTTTTTGGTTGCCTGTTCTCCTTATAGAACCTTTTATTTTATTTGATAAGGTTGTCATATAGTAGGGTTTAAGAAAATTTCCTTCATAGTCTCTTTTCCACCTTTTGCAGCTTGCTGGGTCTGCCAAGGCCCAATTGTCTGCCCGTGACTACAGTGACCATCTTGCTCTTGTCCGTGCTTATGAGGGTTGGAAAGATGCTGAAAGACATCAATCTGGTTGTGAGTACTGTTGGAGGAATTTCCTTTCTGCTCAAACTCTAAAAGCCATGGATTCTCTTCGGAAGCAGTTTTTCTTTTTGCTTAAGGACACTGGTCTGGTTGATAGCATGGAAAGTTGCAATGCATGGAGCCACGATGAGCATTTCATTAGGGCCATTATCTGCGCGGGTCTATTCCCTGGAATATGTTCTGTTGTGGTGAGTCATGAATGGTTTTGGGCTTTCTTGTTTCTTAAAATTTTCATTTTTTTTTTTTGAGTGGATAGGATCAGAATTTGGCTACTTTCATTTTTCCGCTCTAGTTATTTTCGCCTTTCTAACCAAGATGTTCTGTGTCCATAATCATTCTATTTTTGATATATTTGTTGCCAGCTTCTTCTGAATTATCCTGTTTTTAGTGTTTGTTCATAAAAATGGTAATCTTTAGAGTGAAAGAAGAAGGAAAATTGAGAAAATAAAAAGTACGACTGAGGTTCTCATGAATTCGGACTTGATGTTGTTTAAGTTTAATTTTTAATGAGAGGCTTTAATTGCATGAGTCTTTCTCCTACCCTTCCATCAACATGTTAGGTGAGGATTTTAGTAATCTTCTTATTTCCTATAAACATGACACAAGCCGAGCACTAATGGAACCATATATTCACAGAAAAAAGAGAAGTCCATGCAATTGAAAACAATGGAGGATGGTCCTGTTCTTTTGTACTCGGTAAGTTACTCCTTTAGCTGGTGTAGTGTCCCATGAAGTCAGGGCACATCCATTTTTATACCTTTATAACAGTGGTGAATCTCGATCTTTGATTCTAATACAATTATATGAATTGCCTCCTTTTCTTTCCTCATCCCAGAACTCTGTGAATGCCCAAGAGCCTAAAATTCCATATCCATGGCTAGTTTTCAATGAAAAGGTGAAGGTGAATTCAGTGTTTTTGCGGGATTCGACAGCCGTATCTGATTCTGTGGTGCTCTTATTTGGAGGAAATGTTTCTAGAGGGGGCCTAGTAAGTTTCTTACTTTATGTGCACTCAATAGCACAATACTTCTTGCTGGATTGTTCTTTAATTTATATCTAGTGTCCCACCACTTTTGCTGGAATGTTTACTTGTTTTGTGTAGGATGGACATTTGAAAATGTTACAAGGATATTTGGAGTTTTTTATGAAACCTGCCTTAGCAGTGACATATCTAAGCTTAAAGAGAGAGCTTGAAGAACTTATTCAGAACAAGGTATGTACAGCTGCATATACATCTGCATGCTGGCACTGAGTTAGCTCTACCGAGTTAAAACATGATCATAACGTTACTGTTATTCTATCATGTTGTAGTCAAAGTGTTCCATGGTAAAACTCTCCCTCTCTTTCTTCTCTCTCTCACACACACACACACACACACACTCTCTCTCTCTCTCTCTCTCTCACACTGCATGCAGGAGGGCAATAGATGTGGTCACAGATGCTTTGGGGAAATTGCCAAAAGATTAAGTTTTTCTTTCTTTCCTTGGTGTACTTTGCATGCAGCTTCTGAATCCCAAGTTGGACATGCATAATCACAATGAGCTCCTATCGGCAATAAGATTGCTCATATCGGAGGACCAATGTGAAGGTAGATTTGTCTTTGGTCGCCAGGTGCCAACTCCCTCAAAGAAGGTAACAAAAGAGCCACCACCAGGAACTCTTGCAAAAAATGGTGTTGGTGGTGATAATTCCAAGAGTCACCTCCAAGATTTACTTGCCAGGGCAGGACATCAACCACCCACCTACAAGACAACCCAACTGAAAAACAACAAATTCCGGGCCGCTGTGATTTTCAATGGATTGGATTTTGCTGGCAGGCCATGCAGTAGTAAGAAACTTGCCGAAAAGGATGCAGCCGCTGAGGCTCTGCAATGGTTGACTGGAGAGACCCAATCATCCCACAAAGCCATTGATCATATGTCCACAATTCTGAAGAAAAGCAAAAAGAAACGGCAAGCCACAAAGTGGAGGTAGTTACCTGTAGAAAATCAATGGAAGCAATATAATTCCATTATCTTCACGAAGGAAGTAGACTTTGCTGGTTGAAGTTTTGGTAGACTGGAAAGTGGTTAAGTTTTCTTGGTCAATGGTTACGGCCAGTCGGGATGTTCTAGTCGGTATTATCTGAAACTGTTCCTTTGAGCTCACAAGGGTTGATGACATCCTTTGAAGCTGGAAAGTGGGGTCCCTGCCTGGCCCAAGTGAAGAACCTAAAAATTGTTCTTTAGACATGAGTGCTACCTGTTTCAGCTCTTAGTAACTAACAGATCTCCAATTCCTACGGCATCCGGAGGCAGCCGCCACTTGTGTATCATATTTGCTTGAACAGGTTGAGTTGGTGAAAAGAATTAGCAAGACGGTAATTATGGCAGCGAGGCATTAACTTGCATTGGTCACGACCAACATTCGTGGATATAAGTTGGCATTTTCTCAACGAAAAAGGTACCTGATTGAAATTGTTGTAATTATTGGCTGGTTGTCTAATGTTCTGCCTTTTGTGATTATTTATTTGTACCTGATACAATACAGAATTTAGGAGGACAAGTATACACAGATCAATGCCAATTTTAATTCCTCATTTAGGGAATGGCAAGTGAATGCACGAAATTTTGTACAAGCTTGAAAAGAAATGTTTGAACATGAAATTGTTACATAAGTTTTCCTAGAGAGAGAGAGAGAGAGATAATATTTAATCTTTAATCCAATCTGTGATGCTACCCTTTCTGTGAAGGATAATTGTTATTGTATTGTTCTTGATTCTGAGACTCTCACCTATAAAAAGAATCACCATTAGTGCATTGATGATATGCATAATGGTGCAATCTACTTAAATAATATGCCTGATTATATATTGTTTTTTACCTTTTGAAGGATAATTGTTATTGTATTATACTGATTCTGAGACTCTCACCTGTAAAAAGAATCACCATTAGTGCATGGAGGATATGCATAATGGTGCAATCTACTTAAATAATATGCCTGATTGTATATTGCTTTTTACCTTTTGTGTATGAGTTTGATTTGAAAGTAGTTTAGAACAGAAGATTTAACCATAAAACTTCTGGCTTGGCTTCACAGCACACAAGCCAGACCTTGTTCATCTGTGGCTTGCACCTCGATTGTGACCTAGGTCCTTATTAGTATATTGGTCTTTTCTCAATGGCCAGAACTGGTAGCCAATGACTGTAACCGGTAAACTGAAGAAATTACAGTTGGTCAAAGCTGTGATATGCATTTTACTCTGAAAATTTTCTAGTAGTTATTGGGGGAACCTTACAAAGTTGATGGTTAACTGAAAATGGGGGTGGAGATTAGTCCAATTTGTTCCATAATGAGTGTAGATCTGTTTTATTATAGTTTGATTTCTGCTTAGTTTAAATTCAATCTCATGTCTCTTTTTTGATAGATTTTGTTTTCACATGCTTTGCTATTTTAGTTATGATCATATCCATTAGATTATCAGCATTGTGTCCGAGCAGACTCCCCTCACATACTATGCTTTAAACTCTAGACACTTTTTGTTACATTGAGTATTTCCAGTCACAGCCATTGCTTTGCATGGTCCGAAGTTTGAAAATAGAAAGAACTCTGGCATTTAGTCCAATCTAAAACCAAGTCAGGGCTACTTTGGTCATTTTTAATCTTAATATTAATCAGGGTTGATTTTATACGAGCTATCTCATGGTTTTGATTTGTACGTGACACTCTAATTATAAGACCGTATCCCATGGCATAATCCAAATATCATCAGACTTTCTTTCCGGAGAAATAGTTATCATTAGACTAATTTCACCCCTGATACCAAAAGCAAGCATGCCACTGGTGTAGGGCATGTATTAGATTGAGATTGTGATAATTGCCTTTATATCAACAATAATGTTTGGGTAATTTTCATTTTTTCCTTGTTTGGTTACTCTGTTATCCTTCACCGTGGATTGTAGTTATATAATCCTCATGTGATTTGTGAACAGACACATAGCTAATCATATTACTAATATGTGACAAAAAGACCTTAATAGCCAGCCCCATCAATTTGTTTTTTACTAATAAACTGCAACCCAACCCATATCCCCGACTCTGACTGACCTTTCACCTCACTCGTCCTCTCGTCTGGATGTGGCTTTTTAACTCACACCCTAACCCAACGGGACCTCCCCCCCCAAACCCAAGCTAACCTAGACAATAAGTCTAACACCCAAAACTTAAATGGATCGCCCAACCCCTTCTCCTCCTCCCCACAAAAAGAAAAATGAAAAGAACTAAAAATAAAACCAGCCAATCTGACCGGGTTGCATGGTGTGGGTCAAGACATACAGTCAACCCCCTTTTAGTGGCAATGCCATTCGACTTTCTTTTCCTGGTGGAGTGGAGCTTGTCAACTGAATATATGCCACTAATGGAACCAATAGGCCACACAGAAAAGGATACATAAGGGCAGGAGAGATGGTTCCATCCTTGTTATTTGAATTCAAGTTGCAAAATCTTTACTTCAACATGCAAAAGTTTTTACATCCCCATCTATTCTGTTTGCTGGAGAGGAAAAGGAGGTGAGAGTGGCAAAGCATAAGGATATAGTGAGGGGATTTGGTTGATGTCATGGTTTGAATCAAATTCTGGGAAGGTCTATGATGATACCCAGGGTCAAAATTACACCCTCAAAAGAGATTTTAAAAAATTGGAATAAATTCCAAAAATGAGTCGTATCTTGACCTAATTAAATTGAAACTTTTGATACGATATTAAGAAGTACCGTAGTCTTTCTTCTGAATTCGGAGGCAGCCAACTTACCACAGCTCACAAGATCCTAATAGATGTTTCTTGCAGATATTATGAGCCATGCGCCAAGTGATAGGTAGCCTTGCTCTTGCTTCGGATAGGCTAATTCCGAACTTGAACTGATGTTGTATTACGCAGATACCCAAAAACACACGCACACACACACACGCACACCCAAAAAAAAAAAAAAAAAAAAAGAAACGAAAAGAAAAGAAAGAAAGAAAGCCAATCCTGCTCAGTGCTCAGCCATCCTTTGCAGGACGTAAAGGTCAGAAAATTGAATTCAACACAAGTTGGCCTGCCAATGTGCCAGGTGACCACTGCCGGATTGATGCCTTGAAGAACATTTCTCTTGCTCAAAATTCTTTTTCTATCACAGAGAATAAAACTTTACATAATCTTTATGGGCAGCAATAAAGGAAACAGAAATGTCGAATATCTAAAAATAGTTAAAAAAAATGTGTGCCTATAAATAGAGGCTTCATTACAAGAGTATTGGCATGACATTGGAGCAAATGAGTATGAGAGGAAGAGAGGTCTTACATGAAGATAAAGAGTCTTGTTTGGTAGCCAAGGATGACTTGCCTGCTCCATTCAAGATGTAGTTCTGTGTCTTTTTAGGACCCAATTGCTTGGTTTCAGGTGATCACCTTGGCTAACTTGACTGGCTCTTCTCTTTTATGCTAGGCCGTCTCTTCTTGAAATATTGTGATCCATCACTTCAGCTATCTCAGCGTTCTGTAGAATTTGCATGCATGGTAATCTGTATAGCATTGTGCATGGCTTGCAGCGTCTGAAAGAGTCTCTCTTTCTCTCTCTCTCCCTCTCTCTCTCTCTCAAATGGTTTTGATAATATTCACGTAAGGTGCATTTCTTTCATTGCAGGCCTAGAAAAAGGGAAGTAAGAAAGAAGTAAATAATGCCATGAAGTCAGAGAAATATTTGTTCATTTATTTTGATTTTAGATTTTAAATTTTCAAGATCTTAAAGTTCTTTCCTACTAATTAAAACTGATCTCTACTGCAGGATATGGTGGACCTCTCACGTTTTGAATTCCCTATCCGAATGAATATGGCCACAGTTTTTCTGGAGCATATGATTTTTCATTGAGGAATATATGCAACATTTCATAATGAATAACATGATCCTTCAAGAAGATTTGGACAGAATTAAACCGTTATAATTGCTTTATTCATTGTGACCAACCTTCTACATGAAGTCACTGCCTAATTATTTATATTTTTTATTTTCCCACTAGCCATGCATGGATGCATGAGGGCCTCGGTGCAATGATATAGTTATTCCATTGTAACTTAAAGTGTCATAACTTCTACTGACAAAAACAATCTTCTTGGTAGGTAGGAATGAGGTTACGTTTTTTAACTATTCATAAGATCTTGCAATGACATGAATCTTGTACACTATACCATCATTTTCTCGTGCGTAGATGCATAGCCTAATGCCCAATCTAATGCAAATTGACAACTTTCATAGGTTCTTGTTACGTGCACGATTTCGAGGGATTTATAAAATAAAAGAAAAATAGAATAGAGGAGAAAATGACCAGCTACGGGGGGTTAAAACTTCCGTTTGTTCAATTCGAGAAACACTTGACCTTCAAACCTTCATCTTTAACTACAAAACAATAACACCTACAAGATACCCAACTACCTAAGAAACCTGTTAATACTATATCACTAACCCATTGACCAATTCAAACTCTTAATACTAACTTATAAAACTATTAGTCATTGTCCGTACTTGAAGACACTATATAACAAACAAAAAATCTTAAAACAATTATCTAAATTCAAAAGGAATGACCTAAAAACATTCATACAAATTATTTTTTCAAAATAGCTCGAAATATATCGTCGATTATATCCTCCATATTAATGGAATTATCATAAAAATATATAAAAACTCCCCAAAATAACACTATATATACAAATGCCTCTGAAAAAAACATAACTTATTAAAATTTACAATCTTTAAGCAATAAATAAAATGAATAAAATCTTATTCATTTATAAGACTTGCGAATTTATCACCTCTACTACCACCCAATCTAACAACATAACATAATTATAAATTCAACCACCATATTTCCAATCCACCCTATCCCCATGTAATAAATACCTAAAGCAAAAAAAAAAAAAAAAAAACTAACAGAATACAATTAAATTCACAATTTTTAAGCGATAAATAAAATCAACCAAATATTACTTATTTATAAAACTTATGAATTTATTGCCACTATCACTATTCAATCCAAAATGACACAATATAATTATAAATTTAATCACCAATTGTCTAATCCTCCATATATAAATATACACAGAAACAAACCCACGCACATTTCTTTTTTGGTTACTAACAAACCCTCCTAATCAATAACTGTTTTTATTAGAAATATAATAATTCAAGTTTTTAAGATAAAATAATAATAAATAAATATTTAATTAAAAAATAGGGTAAAAATTATGGACATCCCCTGAATTTTGGTAATATTACACGAACAACTCCTGACATTTTATAAATAACACAGAGACCGCCTGAGGTTTGAAATTCTTTGCATGAAGACCCTCTATGTCTCACTTCTGTTAATATTGTTAATGAAAATTGATAATTTCATTTTAAAATTTTTTATTATTTTTACAATTGCCCAAAAAAATTTAGTACCAAAAAAATTTAAAATTTAATAAAATGAAATAAAATTTGATTTAGTACCCAAAAAATTTATTAAATAAATTTTAATATTAATTTGGTAACAATAAAAATTAATTTGATATTAATTAAACAAAGTTGAATATAAATTGGACAATATTAAATGTCAAATTTTGATAAAATTATATATTAATTTACAATGTAATGTTCATTTCATGTTGAATACTATTTGGTGTTTATAGTCAATGTACTTTTTTTTTATTATGTTAAATATTATTTACAAATTAAGAAGTAAATGACAAAATATATGTCG